ACGCGAAGTAAGCCTTTAGGGTTTATATGTAGCGGCTCTTTAACTCCTTAAATCCTTACAAGTAAGGTTACAATCTCCTTAAAATTCACATTTTGAAGTACAACTTGTATGGAGAATATAATTTAAAGACTCACAAACTTAACCTTTTTATAAAGTTAAATCTTATAAAAATATTTTATTATTTTGTTAACATATATTAAGTGAAAACACAGTAGATAACAAATACCAACATATTTTTCTTGTCTTTTTAAGATATGCCATTTCAGTTGCTCGAAAGATTGGTGCCCGGATATATGCCTTACCTGATGACCTCGTAGAAGTGAAACCAAAGATGGTTATGACGGTGTTTGCATGCTTGATGGGAAAAGGACTGAACAGATTAAAATAAACATTTAATATGATGTTTCTGCCACATTAAACACATTGAATGCCTCACAGTTTACAGAATTCTGAAATGCAGTGGGTATTAAACCAGATTATTTGTATGCTTAAAATAGTTGTATAATTCATTAGTGATTTCAGTTTCCTGTTCACACTAGTTAGAATTTGTCGACCTTTTTGGATAACACAGTTAATTTACTCGTAGATACTCATAGTAGAATATGTTCATCATCAAACTGATATTTCATGATTAAATTATTTTTGTTTCCTGAAAGTCTCTTTAAAACAAGACATTCATTCTTTTTCATAGCTTAAAAAAGATCAATACAAAATTTTTTTTGCCGGTCCTGCTGTGAAATGTGTTTTGATTTTCTGTGTGTGTGTGTGTTGTGTGTGTGTGTGTGTATGTGTGTGCGTGTGTGTGTTAATTTTGATCAGAAATGGCAAAGTCATAATCCAGTTTAATCCCTTTGTTTTTTTCTCCAACTATGTGAAGTGGTCTAAAACTTTTTCTGTAAATTTCTATACTGCCTAAAAATTTTAAGTGACAAGTATTGTTCCATTAACATTAAATTTTTTATATATGAGAGCTAACTCTTGAATAAGCCACAAAGCTCATTCTCTTATGTAAGAAGCCAGAGCTTTTTACTTAAAACTCAATTTTAACTGCATTGATACTTTACATATGCTAGTTTGGTAATACAGCTTTAATTACAACAGGCAGCATATATATGTTGGTAGGATGTTATTAGAGAAATGTGTGTGTGTGTGTGTGTGTGTGTGTGTGTGTGTGTGTGGTGTCTATAAATACATATATTTTGCATCTGAATTACCCAGGTTTTCTTAAACAGTATGTATAATTGGTCAGTCAGCCAACCATTAAGTATTTGTTGTGCCCCCAGTGTGTATACTTTTTAGTTTTTAGTTTATCTGGTACATGAAGATTTCTTTTAGACATCTTCATTTTGGATGTGCATATAGTTATTTTTTTACTTTCTTCCAAATATTTATAGCCAAACATTGGCTAGAGGATCTCAAGACATGTTGACACTATAATGTTAGCTTCATATTACAGATGCTAATTTTGATCTATACTAAAGCCCTAAATAATTTAGAACATGCCCACTGAGTATCTTTAGTAGAAAATAATACAAAGCTAATATTCAACGTATTTTCACGTTTTTTTCACAGCCTCCTACAAGTTGGCAATGTTTGGTTAATGCTTGTGTTACTTGGCAATAGCTAAGCCTGAGATCTATTTTTGTCTGAATCTTTAGCCGTAGACCAATTTCTCTGCTAACAAATGAATTTAGAAATCCACTTCCTCCATCTTCTACTGTTAGTGCCAGTGAACAGTACTGCTGTGCAACAAAAATGCTGTCACTTTATGTCAGTGTGAGTGAGTAGTCTAATTCCCCTTCTGCCATTGATTAAAATATACATGTTGGTAACAGTGAGACTGGTCATGCGTTTAGAATAGAATTTTTAAACTGAAATCATCAACAGATGGAATTATGAAATATATTCTTCTACAAAAGAGATTTCCTTTCCTTTTATATTTTGATGATTGTTTTCTTATATGAAGATTAAGATATGTTCTTGTCCTTTTGTGAGATTATTTAAGTTATGTTTGCCCTTTTGATTTTTTTCACCATTATATTTACTAAATTATCTGATTACATGAAATTTAGCACTTTAGAGGTTTTTTTCTCTCAAAGTATGTTTAATAAAAATTCTGTGTATGTACAAATGTGTCAGTAATAATTTCATTTAAAGAAAAGTATACAATCTTGAAAATGAATCTATCATAAGCGTCCAGAAAAGAAAAGTGAAACTAAAATAATTCGTAAAGCAAAATTCCTAATTACTAATTAGTAAAACTAATTCCTAAACTAATTATTAAAACAAAAATTTTATTAGATTGTTTTTGGGGGAGTGAAGGTGGTTCTATGGTTTTTTAACATGAAGAATTTTAGGAAAGAAACTGTATTATTACTACAAATTTAGTTTGTGTTGAAATAATTTGGTGAATCAGTCAATTCAATCACATAAATTTGTCTATTATAATGTAGGTATGACGCCAGACACTTGAGATTCAGCCGAGAAAAATATAGACAAAGTTTCCTGTTCTCATGAATCTTATATCCTAGTGGAGAGAGACAGATGATAAACAGATGGAAATTTTAGATAGTGATAAATGCAGTAGGAGAAATAAAACAGGGT